TGGTGCCCAGCACCCTGAAATTGTAGACCAAAACTCGCTGGTGAAGCGCAGGTCACTATCAGAGACAATTGACTCCGGGAGTTCATGTTGCCGAAAGACACGATCGACAAACATCGTCGCTGTACCCACACCGTCGCTGTACCCACACCGTCGATGGTGTCCGGCACTACCGCAAGATGAGCCATCTTGCTCAAACGGTCCACAAAGATCACCACCCCCGTGTTGCCCGCCGAGTCCTCGGCAGGCCAAACACAAAGTCCATACTCATGGACAACACCCGGTGGGTACCATTAAACTGGTCAACGTGGCCGCCGCATTCGGAGAGTGTTTCGCCCTCTGACACGTCTCACACGTGCGCACATATGTGCTTGTCCATTTGTACAGCTTAAGTCAACAGTAGTGGAAACTCACAGAGCTGTACGTCTTCTCACGACCGAGATGATCAATGAGTGGGGGTGTCGTGGACCTCATAGAGGATGCGGTATTGTAAATCTTCATCGTGAGGAACCACGATTCATCGTAGAATTGGTGCTATAATACGGCAACCCGCTATTCAGCGAATATCGGTGTAACCGTGCGCGTGAACGGGTCGACAATTGCTTATCCGAGTTTCCAAACTCCTTGCACCCGAGAGCCTGTATCAGCCACACATATACGGTAATTCGCGTATGCGGCGCTGATCAAATTCGTAACTGACGACGTCACCGTCGTGACATGAGCAAGCTCATAATTCAGTCTGCGTAACAACGCATCAGCCAAAGCATTCTGCTTTCCTGGCTTATACTTTACCTTGAAGTTATATTCTGCAAAGAATGAGAGCCACCTGGCCATCCTCTGTGAGAGGTGAGGCGACTGAGTTGCAGTGCGTAATAACGCATCATCTGTGAAGATCACAAACGGCTTCGAGCCAAGCAGAAGGACCCTGAACTTGAGAAATGCATACTTCATCGCAAGTAATTTCTTGTCATAGACTGGGTAGCTCCTCTCCGCAGCCTCAAGCTGACAAAATCTGAACGCGTACACCCGATCTCGTCCTTTGGCGTCTGCTTGCTGCAGTGCACAGCCAATGGCAAAGTCCGAAGCGTCAAAGCCGACGATCAGAATCTGGTAACGCCGGTATCGGTGCATGAAGGAGGCTGTCTTCGACCCTGCCAAAAGCCTCCCGATGCTTGGTGTCCCAACACCATTCCGCATCCTTCCTAAGTAGACTCGACAATGGCCGTACCATTTCCGCATAATTCGCGCTATACTTGTGCAAGTGGTTGGCGAGGCCCAGCCACTTGCGCTTTTGGTTCTTTGAATCCGGTCAGTCCATCATGGCCTTGACCTTTCTGCTCGAAGGCCGCGCTCCCTAGTGAAGCACCCTAGAGAGGGATTTTTTACCGCGCCGAGGATGCATTTGTTGGCATTAGCATACGCTTGTTCGTGCACATGCACTCAAACACCGCTCTAAAATGGACGATGTCGTTTTTTCCATCTGTCCTTCCGTGCCCCGCACGACTGGAACGAAGATGTCGTTGAAGTATGTCTGTGCATAAGCACGGTGGGTTCTGAACAACTGCGTCACATGATGATCGAATATTGCTGGTGCAATTGACATCTCTTGGGCATCACCAGCCACTCCCAGAGCATGCCGCTCGGAGCACTCACCGCTGTCAGCGGAGTATCACTCGCTCTCATGAGCGAATTGGTAATACCTATCGACCAAGTCAAGTGCGCCATACTTTTTGCAGCCAACCATATTGCTCTGGAAAACATCCTCTCTAGGAATCGGCGACTGTGCTCAAATAGTGGCAGCGTTTAGCTCATTATAAGCGTGAACATTACGCCACTTACCGTTCGGTATCCGGACACAAAACATGGGTGTCGAATGGATAGAATTGCTCTCACGCACCATTCTGCGTTGTGCGTCACACGGAAAAGGCGTCAACGACGTTACACGCTCCTTGGGCAGGGGCCATTGGTGTGTTACGCAGAATTTGGTTCCTGGAACCAGGTCAATCTCATGATGCACAACCGGTCCGGAGGTAGGACCGACGGCGGGTCTTTTGAGACGACGTCTTTGAATTTCTTTACCAATGGATAGTAAGGATCCGAGAGATCCTTCAGGGTCGACGACCCACTTCGTGCGTTCAGCACCCTCTTAGTGTCTTCCAGGACAGCTTCATCTAGAAGCGACGACGAGTTCGTCTCTTCGTTCGGTCTTCTAATGACCACCGCGGCTAAATTGCCTGCCTTCAAGGCAGCGCCAAATTTTTCGAAGGACACCTCGTCCAGCTTAAGAAGAGCATCTACCGCGGAAAAACCTCGAGGGTGACGTTGCCGTCTTCCTCTCCCGTCATACCATTGACAAGGGTCTATAGCTGTGCGCTATCATCTACGGTAGACAAACCCTGGGTCAGGGTTGACGCCCTGCGTCTTGCAGATAATATACGGCGTTGCCGTCTCCACTCTATAGAGGTTACGTCTCATCGAGGCCAGTGGGAACGCACACTCGACGTCACCCAGTGTTTCCACACCCTGCTCCATCGGAGCCATGATGTTATTAACAACATCCAACGAAGAGCTACTATTTTCACAGTCTTCATCCAGCGGATAACGTGCCACTCCACGCGCATCACAAGAGCCTCGGCCTTGATGCCTCGGACCTCGTCCGGCCTTGTCACTCTTGGCATGCAGCAACTGCGTCGAAACGTGAGCAGTGCTCAGTGAATTACATACCACGTGCATCACAAGAGCCTCGCCATTGATGCCTCGGCTCTTGGCCAACAATGCCACTCTTGGCATGCAGCAACTGCTCTAATACTTGAGCAGCGCTCAGTGGGTTACGTGCTACTCCACGTTCAGCTCGCGACCCACGCTAGGGACTCCTGTTCAAAACACCTTTGGTGTTCGACAACTCAGATACTCCTATATTTAGCACATTGACCATCCTGGTCCAGTGCCCACGCCAATAGCGCTTCAGCGTCCTAGCAGGGGTGGGTTCAGGACCCACCAAACTCCACCAGGAGACGTGCGCGTAGCGCTCAAGGTCTTCGACCTTCAATCAATCCATGGCTCGTGGTGTTCCAACCATGCCATACCAAGGATACGGTCATACCTTGCGTCCAGTCTAAGACTAAGCAGCGTTCCACGCTATCAAAGCAAGAAACTTGACACCGATGTCCACAGAGACCCTCGGAACAGTGGCACAAGTCCCCGTCGCTGAGTGAACAGTGACGGTATCACCTACCCGCGCATCCAGAGCCTCAACATATAGCTGATTTCCTTCTATCGTGGAGCGTCGAGCATAACTGCCTGACGCCCTGAAATCGATAAGAATCCTCCATGGCTTCTCAAAGCCCTACACGGTCGCTTTTACGACCAGCAAGCCTGGCTTGCTCACACGTTTCGTGTTCAAGAGCACGGAACTCTTTGAGGCTGGGCCCCGCTGCCCTCATCCTCTTTGAGGCACAACAGAACTAAGTTCTTCTCCAGTACGGCGCCCCGCACCTACTGGTTTTTCTTGTTTTCTTGCGTCAAACGAGACTGGTTTGAAGCGGGCGTCGGTTCGGCGAACCTTTACACGTCTTGCGCAGGGGACAACCAGTCTGAAGTGACGGGTGTCTCCACAGACAAAACACCGTCGGGTACTCAAAAGCTACTCGGCAGCTTGGAGCTCTCCCTTCTCTTTTTCAGCATAGAGATCAATTGGCTCAGGTTTGCTCGACGAGCTTTGAGAGTGTGCATTCCAACCAAGTCGTGCCTACTGAAAGTTGGTATCGGTATTCGCTGCCACATTCACTGCTTTTTAAAAAGGACACGTAACACTTTCATTCTGGCCACTTCAGTGCGGAGGCTATTTAAAAAGACGATTAATTGCATACACCTTGGGGAGAGGATCGGCTGCCACATACCGGCACTGAGAGTTCACAATTCTTGGACAAAGTCCACCAACTTTTTCTCGCCCTGTCGGGCAGCAAGGAAAGCGATCTCACGCGATATGCCTGATTAGGCGGCGCGAACACTCGCAAAAGCTGACGTTCCAGCTCCTTCCAGGAAAGGAACGCGGCTTCAACCGAAGCGCCGCACATTAGTACCCATTCTCGCGCTCTGCCCTCGAGCTTGGAGATAGCTAGCGTTGCTTATTTCGGAGCATGGCGGATGCCGTAGCCATCTCGACGTCTCTCATTCAGAGCAGGAGATTCTCTTCATCCTTAGTCTTTAAGGTCTTAACGCTCACCATGAGCAGCCTGGGTCGGGAGGAATCATCCGTGTCGACGGTGGCCTTAGACGCAGCCGACGCTGATAGCTTCTGCTGTAAGTGCTCTAACAGAGAATTTTCACAAGCGCGCTTATGGCCTTGGGCCCAAGCGCAACAAGGTGCTCCATGCCTTTAGGCCCAGCAGGGGCATCAGCTTATCAAGCCCGTCCTGCATGCTCTGGGGCAAATAGGAGTATTCCTCCATCCTCACAGAAGATCAGTTGTAACAACTCGGGCACAGATTGACTACGAGTGCTACCAAGTGCAGCGGGGCTGCCGTAGCTCTTTGTTATAGGAAGTAAAGTTAAGGTCACCGACCTTACATTCTTTATAAGAACATGAATGAGTGCAGCGGATCGCAATCCGCTGCCTCCCTCCAAGAGTAGTAAAAACCTTAACCAAGGTAAGCGAACTCTTCTGTTCAAAATTAGAAACTGTATTTAATTGTTTTAGCCGCCAATATCGAAAGCCCCTAGGTTCCCAAATTTTATATCGTAAGGCCTACTTCATATAGTGAAACCAAATTATATAGTAATCTGCGTTACTACTGGCAATCCTGCTACGTGATGGCTTCTTGTTATGGTGTAGCCACCACGCCAACTTGTGTAATCCACACCTTTGTACGGCCACACCATCTTGTGTGACCCGCTTTATCATACAAGGGTAAGTGCAACCCCGATACACAGAATATACTAGCATGCATCAGAAAACTGTGTCTAATGTAAAGCCATTATGTATCTACATACTCGCAGTCGTAATGGACTTTATTCATGTCACCAAAAAAAGTTTCAGACCTGGTGTGGTCTTAGCAAGCTATAATGATACTCGCATTGACACAAAGTCGGTAAGTATAGACGTAATGCGAGCAGTAAAATCGACTATTTTGTTACTTTGATCTTCCAAATATACTTCGGATTCGATCCTTACATTTTAATCTCAGCTATAATTCTTTCATGTGTTTGTGAGAACTACAGATAGCTGGCAATTCATTACTTCTTCAGAATCTGCTACAGCGATATTTTCTCACAAGAAGCGTGCAATACGTTCACCAAGCAGTATATTAAGATCTATTTGGGCTTTCTGTAACGGGGTTACACGTACCCTGGTAACAGGGGTGTGGGTCACACGAGATGTACAAGGTGTGACCATTCTTAAACAAGAATACGGTACGGGGTAGCCAGTAGTTATGCATGTATTTAGTATATCAAGGAAAATCTAAACTTTCAAATTAGGATAAAAAATATATTAAAAGCAGTCTTCGATTTTAAACGAGAGAGCTAATTTGCCTTGGGTAAGGCAATAATTACTCTTGGAGTAAGCGAATTGCGATCCGCTAACTCGTACTTGTACTAAGTATAGAGCAAAAGGTCGGTGACCTAATTTAACCTTCTTCAAAGCGCAAAGCTACGGCAGCCTCGCTGCACTTGGTAGCACTTGGTATCAACCTGAGTCGTTTAGACTGATCCTTTGTGAGGATGGAACAAATTTCTTCTTTGCCTCAGGGCATGCAGGACGGGCTTAAGAAGCTGATGTCCTTGCTGGGCCCTGAAGGCGTGCAACACCTTGCTGCGCAAGGCCCCGAGGCAATCGGTGCGCGTCTAGAGGCGTTTCAAATTAAAAAAAACGCGCTGCTTGAGCACCTGCAGTAGAAGATGTGAAATTGAATTCGGCATTCAATGCCACATGTGCCCCTCCTTCAAACGAGGACGGATGCTCACGGAAGTCTTCCAATCTGACCACGCCAGTGCGGAGGCCTTCCATATAGACGGTCACTGTGACCGCCTCCGGAAGGGGATCTGCTGCCATCCCGGCAATGAGAGTACACATCTCTTGGACAAAGTCCACCAATTAATGGTTCTCCTTTCGAAACGCGATCGCACGCGATATGCCTGATTAGGCGGCGAGGACACTCGTGATAGCTGCAATTTCAGCTCCACCCAGGAGGGAAACGCAGCTTCGACCGAAGTGCCGCACG